TTTTTTTTTTTTTTTTTTTTTTTTTTTGATTTATGATACGAAAGTAGAAAAGAGTCACAGCGAGGAAAAAACGAAAAAAATGTTGTGGTTTTCCTTTTTGCTTTTTCTTTTCGCTTTTTTGTTCTGTCTTTCTTTTTTTTTTGCTAATTAAATTACACATAAATATTAGGAATAATTGAAACTGATTAATGATTGAGTGATTGATTGATTGACTGGTATCACACAAAAACACATACACACACACATACAGAGCAGAAGATCAGCAAGATTGAATTACAGTTTCATAAACGTCCAACGAATTCATGTGCAGCTCGTTCCTGTGATCATTGCTTAGACTATCCGGAACAAGCGTTAAGTTTTCAGCATTTTCTTGGCACTTTAGTGGCTGTACAGGTAATTTATTTTATTTGTTAACGAAAAGGAAAAAATTTAATTATACTTGAACACTTTTTTTTAGTCTTTTAATCTACATTTTTTTTTTGTGTTAATATTAGGAAAATTATTGTTGTTGATATTTTATTTTGCATTTTTCTTTTCTTCGCTTAATTATGTTACAAAAATTTGGCAGCAGCAGCGGTAACAGCAGCAATCAACAGCAAATAAGCAACAATAACAAAAAAAATATGATTATTTATTTAGGTTTTTTTAAATATTTAATATTATAAAGTATTTATAAGTTTAGGATCTGAGTGTACCAATAAAACTGTTAAGTGCATCAATAACTTATGACACTGATCAAGTGCTACGTGAACTGAAAATGCTCGATGTTATAATTGTTGACGACGGTAAACTGGAACAGCCAGACTGGATACCAAATTCTATTGAAGGTAGGGAAGCGAATAAAGAAAGTTAATGTTCATCTCAGTTTATTTTATTGGTTATTTATCTGGTATTTTTTAAATAATTTTTATGCATTTCTCATTTTTTAGTTTTATACCAATTTTTTAAATCATCTACGATTAAGTATAATAAATTTAGAGTATGTTGTTAACTACAAGGTGCGGTTCTGTGTTGATGGTAATGTTGCACGAGTGACCAGTTTTGAGCAAATGAAAGCATTTGCAAAACGTTTTGAGGAACGGATGGATGATATTTTGTTTGGTTCCAAAGCTGAAATGTCAAGAAATGTTTACCTGTCCGAACCTAAATGTAGCGTCGTATTACATATGCTTGGAAAATCGCTAGACATATCATATCGGGCTGTTGACTACAGAAATCGTGGTTGGAATTTACTGGTAATGGTAACATCAAGTTTTGATACACAACGTCGGTGATATATCGGTCAAATGCAACGTACGCAAATGACGACAAAGTACAAAAAAAAAACTTATTCCGGCATTGAAATGACTGACTGACTGATTAACTAATTGACTTTAAAAATTAGCGTACCAAAATTCCGTGAACGAATTAATTTGAAATAATGTTCATAGATGAAAACGATACAAATTACAGAGCATTCCGCAAAAAAATTGAATGAATAAATGAATAGGTGAACTAAACTATGAAAGCGTAAACGAAATTAATATTTCAATTCATTGGTTACTGTGAAAAAAAGTATTACTTTTTTTCTGATAAATTTTTATCCAAAAACAATTTTATCAACCAATAATTTGACTGAAGTCTGCTGTTTGATAGTTACCACAAAAATACGGCACTGTATAACTCCCCTAATCCGAATTCCACCTCCCCTCCCTCCTCACTCACTCCCAAATCTGTTTACCAATTTCAGAACCTGTATATGTTTCACCGTTTCTTCACTCGTATTATTATTATCTCTATTAATATTATTTCTATTATTATTATTTTTTGATGTTTCTATTATTACTATTGTTATTGTAGTTACTTTGTGTCATTTAATTATTACTTTTCTGTTTTACAGTTTCCTGTACCAACTGAAATTTTACGGGTAAAAAAATGTATTAATCAGAGAGTATAAAAGAAAAAAAAAGAAGGAAAGAAGAAAGAAATGAATGAATAAATGAATAAGTAGACGAATATGTAAAAGAATTAATAAATGAATAAGGGAAGGACGGAAAGAGACAAAAGATGAGAGAAGAGAAAAAAGATGAATAAAAATGTAATATAAGTTTAAAAGTGAATAAATGATGTTTTAAGTATTCGGCTGAACAACAGCACTATATCACAAATGATTTTTAATTTCCTATTTTTTTTTTTGTTCTACTTTACAATTAAAAACATTTTTTTTTTAGTAAATTTTTCTAAAATATTTGTGCGAAATAGCATGCTTCACTTTTTTTGGCTACCATTGTCCAGACCTATAAATTAG